CCTACCCCCTCGTCCCCCCCTACAGGCCTCATCATTTCCCTGCAGCTGCTGCGGGGGGAGCTGGACCAGATCAGGCGGGAGAACCAGGCTGTGTTCACCAGAGCCCTGGCGCTGACACGCAAACTGGGCTTCCCAGATGTCATCATGCCAGGTGGGAGGAGCTACGATGCTAATGCTGCTAATGGTGCTAATGACGTCACGAGGAGTTCAGAGGAGCAGATTTGAAGAGCTAACCAGGAGACAAGGATGAGGAGGGGAGGATTTGAACGTAGTGCTGAAGATGAAGAATAAAAAGCTGAATTTCTCACATATTCAAAACTAAACTTTTCACTTTAGAGAAGTTCATGTTCTGTTGGTCAGTCATCACGTTAGCATTAGCCGTTAGCAGGGTTTGTTCATTCAACCCTGTAAATAGCTCTGCTCTTTTATAGTTCAACTTTTTCAACTTTGTATTTTTATTGCCTTCTTCAAATGAATGACGTCACCCTTTCACTCACCCGCCTCCCCTCTGTCACAGGTGACACACGCAATGACCTCTATTTGACCCTTGAGCGAGGGGAGTTTGAGAGAGGTGGAAAGAGCGTCCAGAAGAACATCGAAGTCACGCTGTACGTGCTCTACGCCGATGGAGACACTCTGAAGGTACCACCTCATCCATGACCTCATCCATGACCTCATCCATGACCTCATCCATGACCTCATCCATGACCTCATCCATGACAGACTCAGATGAACTGTGAGGTCACCTCCTTGTCTCCTCCTCAGGACTGCATCAGTCTGGGCAGCGGGGAGCCCCACACCAGTGAACATCGCTCCTTCGTCCTCTACCACAACAACAGCCCCCGCTGGAGTGAGATGGTCAAGCTGCCCATCCCCATAGACCGCTTCAGAGGGTCTCACCTGCGCTTTGAGTTCAGACACTGCTCCAGTAGGTGGTGCTAAGTGGTGGCAGTCGTCCCCCAGTGCATTAGACTATGATGATGATGACGATGATGACGATTATGATGATGACGATGATGATGACGATGATGATGATGATGATGATGATGACGATGATGATGATGATGATGACGATGATAAAATGTCTTTCAGCTAAAGACAAAGGAGAGAAGAAGCTCTTTGGTTTTGCCTTCACTCCTCTGATGAGAGAAGACGGGACCACACTGTCAGATGAAATCCACGAGCTTTATGTTTACAAAGTGAGAGCACACACACACACACACACACACACACACACACACACACACACACACACCTACCTACACCTGTATGTGCTTTACTTTTGGAATGTTTCTTAAGCCACAACTAGGGGGCAGTACTGACCACAGTTTCTCAGACAATAACAAACATGTTACTACTGTCACCCCCCCCTCCCCCCCCGGTCCCCGCCCCACAGTGTGATGAGAATGCCACCTTCAGTAACCAGGGCCTGTACTTGAGCCTCCCCTGCTGTAAGGAGGACTTCAACAGCTGTCCCAACCTGCCGTCCAACCTGCCGTTCCAGAGGAGCCCCAAAGAGGTCTTCTGGGTGTCCACCATCCTCTGCTCCACCAAACTCACTCAGAATGGTGAGTGAAGGTCCCACACCCACCAACCAATCATCTTCTAGTCCTGTCTCTGGGTCCACCTGGACCTGGACCTGACAGCTTCTCATGTCCTTCCCTCAGTGGACCTTCTGGCCCCGCTGCACTGGAAGGCATCCAGACAGAGTCCTGGACATCCTGGGTCGACTACGACAGATCAGTGGAGAGGAGATCGTCAAGGTCCTTGGTCCTAACACGTCCAGTCCTACTAGCTACTAGTCGTGCTAGCTCCTAGTCGTGCTAGTTGCTAGTCGTGCTAGCTCCTAGTCGTGCTAGCTCCTAGTCGTGCTAGCTCCTAGTCGTGCTAGCTCCTAGTCGTGCTAGTTCCTAGTCGTAATAGCTACTCGTCGTACTAGTTACTAGTCGTGCTAGTTGCTAGTCGTGCTAGCTCCTAGTCGTGCTAGCTTCTAGTCGTGCTAGCTCCTAGTCGTGCTAGTTCCTAGTCGTAATAGCTACTCGTCGTACTAGTTACTAGTCGTGCTAGCTTCTAGTCGTGCTAGCTCCTAGTCGTGCTAGTTACTAGTCGTGCTAGCTCCTAGTCGTGCTAGCTACTAGTCGTGCGAGCTACTAGTCGTGCTAGTTACTAGTCGTACTAGTTTGGTTTTTACTAATGTTTAACTGTTGACATTGAAGTCTGAACTTTTCACCTTGTTGTTTAGAAAAGCATTGACTTTAGTTCCTGGTCCTGGTCCTGGTCCCGGTCCTGGTCCTGGTCCTGGTCCTGAGGACTTTAATCAAATCTGTCTTTTGTCCCTGACAGTTTCTGAGGGACGTCCTGGACACACTCTTCTGTCTCCTGGATGAAAACACGGACAAATACGGACCGCTGGTTTTCCAGTCACTGGTAGGAACTTGAACTCAGTGGTCCGCTTAGAGGTAGGCTGGTGTACTGCAGCCCACAGTGACACATGATGATTGATGTGGGCAGGTGTTCATCATCAACCTGCTCAGGGACAGTCGCTTCTACCACTTCAGACCCGTCATGGACTCCTACATACAGAACCACTTCGCTGGAGCTCTGGCGTACAAGTGAGTCACCGGCGTCCGTCAGAGCAGACAGGAAGTTCTCACTGTGCAAAACTGTTAGGCAGGTGTAGAGAGTGAGAGTATGAAGGCCAACAGCGCCCCCTGTGTGCACCTGGACCGTGTGTCCGTAGCTGTGATTCTACTGTCACGGTCTGTGCAGGGAGCTGATCCGATGTCTGAAGTGGTACATGGACCGCTCGGCAGAGGTGGTCCGACAGGACCACATCCAGGAGGCCATGAGGGTAAAGTACCACAGTCTTGATTCTGGTCTGGTTGTAGTTCCACCAGGAGCCTGTAGGCCACAGTAGAAGGTCTTTGGTGGTCTGAGAGTCAGAGTGAGACTTGAGCCCTACCCCACTGTGTGTCCCAGGCTCTGGAGTACCTGTTCAAGTTCATCGTCCAGTCCCGGATCCTGTACTCGAGGGCCACCTGTGGACTGGAGGAGGACCAGTTCAGGGCCAGCGTCCAGGAGCTCTTCCAGTCCATTCGCTTCGTCCTGAGCCTGGACAGTCGCAACTCGGAGAACCTGGTGTTCACGCAGGTCAGTGGGACCATGCTGTGACTGGTGTTCACGCAGGTCAGTGGGACCACGCTGTGAGGGGGTGGGGGTGGGGTGGGGTCATCACCCCCCTGTTTTTATTCATTGTGTTATTAACGTGTTATTAATGGTTCTCCTGGTTCTGTGTAGAACGACCCAGGAGTTCTGTTCTGTTCTGTTCTGTTCTGTTCTGTTCTGTTCTGTTCTGTTCACTTTCCGGTTCTGTTCTGTTCCAGGCAGCTCTTTTGAACAGTTTCCCCGACATCTTCGACGAGCTGCTGCAGATGTTCACCGTTCAGGAAGTGGCCGAATACGTCCGAGGAACGCTGGGGAGCATGCCCAGCACGGTGGACATCGGTCAGTCCATGGACGTGGTCAAGCTGCAGTCCATCGCTAGGACCGTGGACAGTCGCCTCTTCTTCTTCCCCGGTGAGACCAGTATCAAGGCTGCGGGCGTGAAGCAGGTGAGACCAGAGAGTTTTTCATCTCCTTCTCTTTCTCTCAGAGTCCCGCAGCATTCTGCTGCCCGTGGTTCTCCACCACATCCACCTGCATCTGCGCCAACAACGAGAGCTGCTCATCTGCTCTGGGATCCTGGGAAGCATCTTCTCCATTATCAAGACCAGTTCCATGGTACGGCACCATGTGCTCCCTGACCAGCACATGCTGCAGGTTCCTGTTCTAAGCCTCTGGTATTCTCTGTCAGGAGTCCTCGGTCCAAGAAGAGGTGGAGATGATGGTGGAGAGTCTCCTGGACGTCCTGCTGCAGACGCTGCTGTCCATCATGAGCAAGTCTCACTCGGTGGAGACATCCAGAGGACAACGCTGCCCCCAGTGCACGGCTGAGATAACCGTGGGTTTTTAGATGTTTAGATGATAAATTAAAAATAAAACAACAACAAAACTTTAGACGGTGAGAAGCTGTGTGTAACTGTGATGCCCTCCTGCAGGGGGAGTATGTTTCCTGTCTCCTCTCACTGCTACGACAGATGACAGAAATTCACTTTCATCATCTGCTGAACAACTTCCACAGCAAAGAAGAGCTAAAGGTAGGACACAGTTCATCCACCAGGGTGAGGTGGGTCGGACTGGACGGTCGGACTGGACGGTCAGACTGGACGGTCAGTCTGGACGGTCAGACTGGACGGTCAGACTGGACGGTCGGACTGGACGACGGGCAGAGGACTGGACGGT